CTGTTGCTACAGTAGAACACACAAGGCTGAGTAACTTACGCAGAGAAGAGGTAGATTTGGGCTCATAGTTCCCTGAGACCAGCAAGTCCAGTGGGGGGCAGCTGCACCTGGTGAGGACCTCGTGGGGAAAGTGGGAGTGTTCGAGTGTGAAAAAGAGGGGAGCTAGGTGGATGGCACACACCTGTAATCCTAGCATTCTGGGAGGCTGAGGCAGGAGGATCACAAGTTTGAGCCAAGTATGGGCAACTATTCAAGGCCCTATGTCAAAGTAAAAAGAAAAGGGGCTCAGTGTTAGAGCACACACCCCTGAAGTCACCCCCGGCAATGGACAAAAGAAAAGAAAGGAAAAGGGCATGCAGGGGGCTGGACACTAGGAAAACTCACTCTGGCAATAACTAACCCGTGCAGCCATGACCTCTTCTCCCTCCAACGCTTTGGGGTTTTTTTGGGTTTTTTTGTACTGGGGACCGAACTTGGGACCTTGTGCTTTCGAGGCAGGCGGTGGAACCACTGAGCTAAATCCCCGGCCCATGCTGTTGTTGTTTGAGGCAGGGTCTCACTAGGTAGCCCAGGCCTCAAACTTGAAGTGATCCTCCTGCCTCAGCCTCCTTGGTGCTGGGGTGACAGATGTGCACCACCATGCCCAGCTTCCCTCCAACCATTTAAGAGTCATTCGGAGACTTGTTATCCTGTGCTTTCCCCAAGGACAAGGACAGCCATTGCTGGTTCAACTGGGTTCAGGAAAGACGATAAGGAATTAAGGGTTACTGTAATAATGCCATTCTCTTTCCTCTGACAATGCCCTTACATTCCCCTTACCGTACACACAAGTGTGTACACACACACACGATCACCAGGATGATAGGCGTGCACCACCCATTCCTTTTGGACTTTGGCCCCAGCCCCCAAACTCTGGCCTGCAAAGTGCTTCTGGGCTAACACAATTTACAGGGCTTGCCACCAGGCTTCCAAAGCCCCTGCTCCTCCGTCCCAAATCTTGCTCCTCTGCTCCCGGGGCTGAGTGACAGGTGACAGTGGCTCCCAAGGGTGCCCTGTGAGCCCGACAGGGACAGGCGTCCTATGGGTGCTGAGTAACCAAGAAATCATCCGCCAAGCGGCTCCATGCAGCCGTGAGCGTGTGAATGGCTCCTTTCACTCCAGCGTCCACAGAGGCCTGCGGTGCGGAGTGGAACTCGGGTGGGGCTGAGGACCGAAAGCCACGCCCATGGGAATGCAGACAGGGCCCAGCTGCTACCCGGCTGCCACCCGGGTTTCCAGGCTCCCCAGTGAAAGCGACAGCGTGGTCTCTCCTCTCGCTGGCCCTGCGCTCTCCTAGTAGCTCAGCAAGCAGCTGCGGATCCGGGTCCTCCGACAGCTCGGACTCCCTGCAGCAAGGCTGACAGCTCCTCCAGGGAGGCCACAGTGTCCTGCTGCCCAGCATCAGCTCCCCGTCTGGTGGCCAGGCGTGGCCAGCAATACCTCTGGGTTAAATTGCATCCTGTTAGTCGCTGTGATGACATCTTATTTCCATTGTACCCAAATTCCTTTTCTCTGGTTTTTTTTTTTTTTTGGTACCAGGGATCGAACTCGGGACCTTGTGCTTTCGAGGCAGGCAGCAGAACCACTGAGCTAAATCCCCAACCACCCCCCCTTTTTTTGAGACAGGATCTCTATGTGTAGTCCAGGGCCTGCTTTGAATTCACAGCGATCCTCCTGCCTCAGCCTCCAGAGCGCTGGGACTACAGGTGTGTGCGACCATGCCTGGCATGATATCCAAATTCCCAGCTCATACCAAGCACAGAGTAGCCACGCAGTCTTGTTGAACGCATCATAAATTACACGGAGTTGACACTGAAGTGCTATCAGGAGCCCGCGTTTTTATGCTGTTTCTTTATGCTGGCAGTGCTGAGGCTCGAACCCAGGGCCTCGCACCCGCCAGGCGATTGCTCTGCCGCTGAGCTCCGCCCCCACCCGGAGTCTGCACAGCAACAAGTGGGCTATAAAGGGCGCCGAGACGCCACCCGTCTTCGCCAGGCGACCCGGACTGCTTTGATCCCCTCCCGGCTGGAGGAGCCGAAGGCCGGCAACCAGCGGCCCTGACGGAGCGCGGCCCCGGCCATACCCAGATCCTCTCCAGGGGCGGCCGGCTGTGCACGCTCGCAGGCCTGGCTGCCTGGATCCTGCCTCTGCCCGCGTCCGGCCCGCGCACCACGGTGGGAGGTGCAACTGTTCCCTGTCCGGCAGGGAAGCGCATGCGTGGCGAGCCCCGCCCGAGCCAGGATGGAGCGGGGCCGTGGCGGTAAACTGGGCCGCGCAGGACCCGCGTAGCGCGGACCCGGGCCGGAAGCCGAGCTCCCCACCATCCCGGCGGCGTCAGTCAGCCGCGTGCGTGTCGGGAACTTCTACCCGAGTTAGCCTGGGCCGAGGCCCGGGCCTGTTCATTCCTTCCTCTGCGATGAACTTTTACGTCAGCTAAAAGTTCCGAGTTCCACAACGTTATGACGTTCTCCTCCGCACATTCTTCATTATCACAGCTTCCCCTAGTTTTAATTGCTGCAGGATGTTTCCATGGGGCGCACACATTTAACCATTTGCCTGCCATTTGTTGAATTTTTAGTTGCTTTCAGATTTGGGGCTATTTTTGGGAAAAGAGCCATAAAAAGAGCAATTGCCATGTAAATTTTCCATATTTGAGGGTTTTTAAAAATTTCCTTAGGAGACATTCCCAGAAATTATATTCCTGAACAGAGCCGGGGATTTAACTCAGTGGCACCGCTCCTGCCTCGCAAGTCCTGAGCTCAATTCTCGGTACACCCCCTGGCCCCAAAAAGAAAAAAAAATTATATTCCTGAACAAAATGGTATGAAAATAGTTTATACTCTTTTCTTTTCCTTTTTTTTTTTTTTTTTTTTTTCCTGAGAAGGGTCTCACTGTGCAGTCCAGGCAAGCCTTGAACTCACTATGTAGCCCAGGCTGGCCTGAATCTCGTGGCTATCCTGCCTCAGCCTCCAGAGTGCCAGAATCACAGGTGTGTGCCATCACGCCTGGCAATTTAGACTCTTGATATTGTCAAAGCGCCTTTCAAAAGGTTCTCAAATTTATACTCATTCTAGAATGAATAAAAATTCCATTTATTCACCCTTAGACATATGCTGGTTTGTTTGGTTTTTTTGTTACTGGGAATTGAACTCAGGACCTTGGGCTTTCGAGGCAGGTGGTGGCACCACTGAATTAAATCCCCAGCCCAACATACGCTGTTATAACAAAACGTTTATTCTACACTTCAACGTATATGTCTGTATTTGAGGCTTATCTGTTGTTAAGAAGCTCCCAGCCAGACGTGGTGGTGCACACCTGTAATCCCAGCACTTGGGGAGGCTGAGGCAAGAGGATTGCCATGAGTTCAAGGCCAGCCTGAACTACAAAGTGAGACCTTGTTTCAAAAGACCAAAAGAAGGGCAGGGGATTTAGCTCAGTGGTTCTGGCACCTGCCTCGTAAGTGCAAGGTCCCAAGTTCGATCCCCGGTCCCCCCTCCCCTTAAAAGACCAAAAGAGGAAAAGGAGGAGGAAGAAGAAAGTGGGTCTCCTCCGCCCCTTCCGGGAGCCTCCACAATAAATGGACCACGGCTTTGGCAGAGTTGGGAAATGCGCCTCCCCTACCCTCCCGCCCGCTGGAGCACCGAGTTGGTGATGACTTTGTGCGTCGGCTACAGCTACACTAGAGGATGCCAGGCTCTGCTGCGGCCCAGGGCCCATGACCCAGGCTCTGCTTCTGCCCACCCACCGCCTGGCTCACGGTGTGGGAGCCCTGTGTGCGCCTGTGACCCTCTGACCACTGACCACTGACCGCTGCAGGGAAGAGGAGGCCCAGGCCCCAGGCAGGCTCCATCAGGGTGCTGCTCTGCCTGTGGGAGGGGCACGGGATGAGGACCAAAGCAGTGGAAATGCAGTGACACAAAGATGAAGGGGCTCGGGCAGGGTGGTGCAGAAACTTCCAGGCAGCATCGGGAGTGAGGGAGAGTGTGTGTGTTGTACGTGTGTATGTGTGTACGCGTGTATGTTGTGTGTATGTGTGGCAGGCGGTCCTGGTTTTCAACTGGGTCCATACCCTGGGCCCAAACCAAACTAGAGTTTAACTGTAGTAACTGAGCTTCAGCGGGTTGCAGGAGACCCTGTAGCCAATTCACTAAGCTGTAAACAGCTAACCAGTCAGGCTATCACTAACTGGTTGACTAGTGAGGCTGAATCCTACCTGGCCTCCCTTCTGTTCCACTGGCAGTGTGGTTGAGCGAGTTGCTGCCTGGATTCTCAGGTCTTGCTCTGGCTCTGGAAGCTGCCTGCCCTCTGAGCTGTTTTCTTTGGCCCCCTTCAGATAACTGCTAGTTTTAGTTGCTCTGAGGAATTTGCCCTTTTCACAGTTGTGTTGTGACCAGCAAGATCCACAGCAAAGCTGCAGCCCCGGCGGGTGAGGAGGGCAGGCCTAGCAGCAGCCAGCCCCAGCCTGCTGTCCCTCCACAGCTGGGGTTTGTGAATAAGAGCTTTCCCACACCCACAAGCTCCGTGGATTTGTGTTTTGTTGCCTTTGTCTTATATTATTCTTGAGATAGGATCTCACTGTATTATCCAGGCTGGTCTCTGTCAGTTAAAAGGCCGAAGACCAAGACCAGACCAGGCCACAACAAGCCTTTATTAGGGGAATAGATCTGCTGAGCTGTCTCTGAACAAAGGAGAGACAAAAGCAATATGGCCGGGGCAGGGCAAGTCTTTTATAGAGACTGGGGTGGGGTTTGTAGGGGCTGAGGTGGGGTTGAGTGAGGTAGTGACTAGGGAATGGAGGAGCTGGTGATGTCACTAGGTGGTAGGAGGTGAGCGAGTATTAGGTTACTTTCTAGGCGGGAAAAGGAGCATGCTGGGAAGAAGGGTTTGTTCTTTGGTGGGAGCAACCATCTTGGCATGATGTCACACAGGGGAGGGGGCAAGGCACAATAGGAAGAGGGCAGCTACTATACATAATAGCTGCTGAGGTAGTGGGAGACCTATCAGTCTCAAACTCTGTACCCCCTGCGCAGTAGCTGGTACAAATGTGTGTTGGGAACTGAGTTTTTTTAAGCAAACTCTAAATCTGAACTGGGTTTGGATGATGTGACTGAAACAGGACTGGGTCCTGTGAGAAAGTCTCAGGTACCTGAGTCAGGTAAGAAAACACTCCGTGGGTTATACTGGTGCACGCCTGTAATCCAGCGCTTTTGGAGGCTGAGGCATGAGGATGGCAAGTTTGAGGCAGAGCAAGGGAGGTAGCTCAGGAGTAGAGCTTGTGCAAGGCCCTCGGTTAAATCCCCAGGACTGGAAAAAGCAAAAGAAAAAAGGCCGACGTGGGTTCTGTAGGTCAGTAAGGCTGGTGGAAGGCAAGGAGCTCTGGGGGCCTCTGGGGCCTAGGGCTCTACCTCTGGGGCTCCATCTGCGTGGTTTATGCCAAAACAGTGCACAGCATGGCGGTGCTCAGGTCGGCCTGTGCTACGGGAGAGCAGTGGCATAGGACCTTTGAGGGTTCACGGTGGCACCCTGGACAGAGCCTGGGGTCTGAGATTGCTCCATCTGGACCCCTGGGAACTTCAGGCACCAGAATTCCCAGAACCTGGACGTTTTCTTAGACAAGTGAGTAAACTGTATCTGAAATAAACTTGGGATTCCAGTGGTCACAGTGAGGAAGTTTTGATTTGGAGGAGTTTTTTGTGAGGTTCACTGGAAAAGGAAGGACTAAGGCGTTAGAACCTGTTACAGAGGAGAGAGGGGAAAAGATTTGTCTTCTGGGGCAAGGATTTAGCTCAGTGGCACCGCGCCTGCCTCACAAGCCCAAGGTCCTGAGTTCCATCCTCAGGATTGGAAAAAAAAAGATTTGTCTGCATAACAAGAGCCACCTTTGACCATTTGTCTCAATGACACTTCCTACTTAGCCTCCTCGTGGGCAGACAGCACAGTCAGGCAGGGTGGTCGAGAGGGGGCAGGGTCCTTTGACTCTGGCTCCTCCTGGAACAAGGGAGATGGGCTTTGAAGAAAGAGCAGGTGACTCTCGGGCTGGGCTCGCCCATGTGGGAACGGAGAGGGCAGCTCAAATGGGTGGGAGATGGATCCTGGTGGAAAGCACACAGCCTGAGTGGATAGTGTGTGGCGTGAACCTGGCCGAAAGCGACCAGACATGGGTCCTGCTGCCATCCACACTGCAGTGAAGCTTTGAGGCCTTGGACCACGGGGCCACACAGCTACTGGAGACTTTAAGGTAACGTTGCCCAGCGAAACCCTTCCCAAGTGGCCAGCAGCATCGGAAGGTGTGGATGGCTTCCCAGGCTCCCCATTGTGTGAGACTCTGGCCCTTCTTGATTTTTTCCCTCCCATCTTTCCCTTGATGGGACTAGACTACCTAAACTACCTAGACTACCTTTGACACACCTGTCCTCACTTCCTAGCTTCATTTTACCCAGTTATGGGGGCTGGATTATTTCCTAGCCGAATGGAGTGGCTTCTCAGCCATTGCTGAAACGTCTGGTTCCACATGACGCACGTTGGACTGTCAAGACTCTTACACATCAGGTAAGCTCGGTGGTTCAATGCACAGACCCTCATCTGTTTTGGTTTGTGGAGATCCTGGCTGGGGGCCTGCTCTGAACTCTTGGTGTCCCTCTTCCAGGTCCTCACAGACTCCCTGGTGCACTGTGTCCTCATGAGCGGCCAGGTCTTTCTTCTGCCTCATTTGTGTGACCATGCAGACGCCACACTGCAAATCCAGGGTGCCCTAAGCTCCCGTCACCCTGACGTGGTGGCTGTGATACTAAAAGGGAGTGGATTGCTCAATAAAGATGGCGGTGGCCATGGCGTCGGGCTGGCACTCACAAGAACCACTCCAACCTAGACGTTAGCTACAGTGACTGAGCTTTGGTTGGAGCCCATAGCCCATCCTACTCTGTGAACAGCTAACTGGTTAAGCTGTAACTGGCTGACTAGTTGGCCAACTAGGTTTTTGTCTATGCCACGCGCGTGTTTGTGTCACTGCTGTCTGGTCCTGTTGTTGGAGTTCTCAGAACCTGCTCTCTTGTTCCGCCTGCTCCAATAAACCACAGAGCTTAGTGGGATGAAGGGACTTTCAGCTGTGTGGGATGAGGGGCAGCAGATACCTGGGCCAAGTGCTGTTGGCGGATGCACAGAGATGGCCAACCCTTGCTCTGACACACAAGACTTCTGTCCTTTAAGATTGTCCAGCACTGGGTCCTGCAGGAAGCAGCTGGAGTGAATGAGGAGCAGGTGTGCCCAGGACAGGGCTCTGGCTCCCCCTGTGACCTCACTAGGACCAGCCTTCGAGTCCCAGCCTCTTTGTTCACTGCCCTGGGCCTCACCTCTCTCTGATCTGGGGCACCAGCTACACCTTTGGGCTGAAAGAGATGGGTGTCTGGCCGAGCGGTGGAGCATCCTTGCCATCCCTGACAGTTCAAGGACAGCATGGGCTACACAGTGAGTGTCAGAGACGAGGGGAGAACTGAGGTCTAATTGGCCGTCTCTGAGCACAAAGGGGAAAGGTTGTACTTGGGGTGACTGCATATTGCAGGTTTTAGGGAAAACTTAAGACAGCTGAGGTTGGGCCAGGATTTAGCTCAGTGGTTCCACTGCCTGCCTCGAAAGCGCAAGGTCCTGAGTTCGATCCCCGGTACCAAAAAAAAAAAAAA